GCAGCCATACCTGCAGCTTTCTTCCTCAGAGATCTTTTTTTGTTGTCAGGAGTGGTGGCGCCGCTATAGACTGCCACCCAGGAAGTCTTCTGGCACTTCATCATCATCAGATATTGTGGCGCTGGTCTTCTTCTTCGTCCTCTGAGAGGCGCTTGGCCTCAGAGGCCTGTTTCAGGGTGGCGCTTCCCTCACGGGCCAGTATACGGGTGGCGCTTGATGTTTAAGGGGCTCAGGGGCAGTAATAGTGGCTACTCAGGGTTGGGGAGTGAAGCGCTGCTCAGAAGCACCATGGTACAAGGGTTATTCTGACATTTTGAGACTCTGAGTTTAATAAACAGTGTGAATATTGTGTGCAGACTGTCTTTACTTCATTGTTTTCTGGATGTGATCAACTCGGCTTTCCTTTGTGACTGGTTGTGAGGATTATGTGGAGAGAATTGCACTTTTAGTGTTTTCTGTCATATCGCATGGACAAGTCTTCCGTTGTGCGGTGTGATACTCTCATCCTCTCCCCTTCCTTCTGTATATGTATGGGCATACCTGGAAGTCTATGTGAGCAAGTGTTGGTCTTCTAACAACAAACAACCAGGTTCATAACATACACAACTCAATCTGCTTGTCCTGGCATCTAAAAATATTTTCCCCTCACTGTCTAATCCCAAAAATCTACAAAACAACCAACCATGTAAATCGAATTGAGGGAGTTCAACCAAACATTTTACTGCCAAATATAGCCCCCTAAAACAATCATATCTAGCAGACTAACTGCAGATGAAAGAACCAAGAAAGTGAAAACCACTTGTCACCCTTCCCCCTCCCCATACCAATGAAGGTCCACCAAGGCGAGCTCAGAAGGGGGGAAAGGGTCGGGAAAAGATTATGGAGGACTCAAGGTAGTTCCTGGCTGGACATCAAACAGGTCCTAGAAGATCTGATAATCCCTTTTGAAGTACATCTCATCTTCTTCCCCAACTAGCCAAACCACATCCCCCAATCTCCCTCTTGAGGAATCACCCAGCCAGTCCTTTGTGGATTTATGGATTCGCTTCTTAATATCTTGTTTTTGTTGTACTGTTTGAAGCCCAGATCTCGTCTTATCCCAGTGAGACCTTATTTCTGTTTCCATAGACTGTTGTACAAGATCAAACATTTCTTTGCCATCAATCCTTACTTTCTACATCGTATACACACACAATCTATACCATAAAACCCATAAAATGGCTTTTCTTCCCATATTAAATAGATTCTGCTGGAAAGTTGATAACGAAATGAGGACAGAGCTCCAATGACCCAAGAGGATCACCCTCCAATCCCAAGGCCAATCCAGACCTGTCAGCCTACACCATACATAGTCCCAGTGCCTCCACAACAACTTTGCCCCCAGACATTGCATAGAGACTGTAGTTTTTTAGATTTGCATCTCCTGTTGGTACGCCAGGTCCACTCTGCAGGATCCAAGGGAAGTTTTTGGATGGGGAGATGTGGAGCAAACACAAGCCATCCTTTGGAGGCTGAACAATACAATGTCCTCACCCTATAAAGAGAGTCAAAGTGAAAGAAAGAAACCGTAACCTGATTACTTTGTGAAAAGGAATGACCCTTGTGGAGTGCGAAAAGATTTACTAGGGCGCCCTCCGTATGAATATCTAATATTTGTCCCACTACCCCGGAGCCATCTGACTGATGCGCAGACACCCAGTCTGCAACCAAAAAAATAGGCCCCTTTTTCAAGGCTGCCACCCATGCCAATGGAATGGAAGAACTGATTTGATCAAGATTATCCAATAAATTATGCGCATACTTAATTTATTTTCTTAATTGGCTTACAGATTTCCAACTTTTACTCACCCAATTCCACAAATCCTTGACCCTCACCACACCATGCTTAACCCAAGTGGACCGGAGGATTATAAGTTATAACTTATAAATACCCTTCCATGCCCATTTGCAATCCACCTATTGCCAAAAATTGGTTGACGTAGAACTTCCTCATATCTGGAAGGGGGAGATTTATTAGGTAAAGGGAGTTTACGCCATGTTTTCAATAGGACTGCCCAGAAATTGTCTAATACAAGATCCCTTCTAACTTCTCCACATTCACCATTCTTTGAGAGTGCGCCTGAGGCCGAGGAATAGTCCAATATCTATCCTCCACCCAAATGAGTGGATTCACTTCGTTTGTGGTTAGTGGAGCCAGTCTACGTATTTGTTCCAGTGCCAAGGCTTGCCATGAAAGATCTGTTGCCAATATTAAACGTTTTAACCATTGAAGTGCTAGTGCTTGACACCGGATCATAGGATCCACAATACCAAGCCCTCTTTTGACCTTTGGCTAGATGAGGACTTGCCACGCCACTCTGGGAATCAGATGAGGCGTCTCATGATCTCCACGCCAAAGAAAGGCCGTGAGCTGCCCCCGGAGTTCTTTAGCAGGGCCTTTGTTTAGTGACCACAAGGCAGACTTGTACCAAATTGAGGCCAAAATTACATTGTTAATGACCAATGCCCTACCAAACAAAGATGTTTGTTGGTTTTTCCATTGCCTCATTTTTTGTAAAGCTGGGGAAGAGATTCATACATCGTTAGAGATTGGTTTCCCCCTAGCTGTGAGCACTACTCCTAATACTCTGATTCGAGCTTCCAATGGCATCCATTTGACCCTTGGATTCTCAGGAGGCCTATCCCCTTGAGAATGAATCCACCATTCCTGTGTTTTATTCCCCCAATTGACCACCATATCTGAAATAAGGGAGAACCTGTCCATTAGTGCCTTGACCACCATATCTCAAATAAGGGAGAACCTGTCCATTAGTGCCTTAATCTCTTCCATATTGGCTTTAGACGCCTCCATCATTATGGTTAGATCATCCGCACACAGAGAACAAACAGGTATAGCTTCTTTCGGAATACCTGAAATCTGGAGTTTTTGTAGATTATGATTAGTACGTAGATTACCTCCAGAGCATAGTAGAAAAAGTCATATTCTGAGTATGCCCTGAGTATGTTTCGCTGAATTTTCCAAGTCTGTGTCCTGCTCATGATGTAGGTATGTCCCTATGCTTGTCTGTTGAAGTCTGGGCACAAGTCTGTGTCTGTGTGCTGACTCCATTTTGGGTGGTGTGTTTACCTTTCTCAGAAACCTTGGGAGTTCCCTCTCCGTGCCCGCTCACCTCTGAATGCAGTACAGAGCACCGATTTCCTACGGTACTCTGTTCTATTTGTCTACTATCTAAAAAATTATAATTACTACGATATTATTATTACTACATTGCTCGTATGATAAATTGTTATTTTTTATTATTATGTCATCCTGATAATACTAATATGCTTAGAAACTGCGTAGCTCACACCGGTCATCTTCTTCTCTGTTGCCCTGACTGGCCCTCTTCCCTTACCTCCTCCCCCTCTCCCTTCCCCCCTCCTCTTTCCCCTTTCCCCTGTCACACGTCCATATCAGCAAGGGCTCGCTCAGCCTTCCCCATTGACCACATGCCTAGAAGTCTTGTTAACCGGGAGAATTTCATGCTCACACCGGGTCGTTTTGGGGCGAATGTAACCGTGAATGCGGTCACTTGCATCCGCTTGTCTCAATTCTCCCTTAGCCGCCATTGCCCATTCATTTAATCAAACCTCTGCACAAGGGCCGGCACGTCAGGCTCCTCTCCACTGATTGATCGGGCCGCGCTCCACTAGAGAACACTCTACATGCATTCGGATGCTTTCCGCTCCCCATACATTCACAATGTTGGTATCGTCGACTAGGTGCATTGGGACGATTGCAACATTGTGACTGTAAGGGAGCCGAAGGCGTCCAAATGCATGTAGAGTGTTGTGTAGTGGAACGAGGCCCATTGATTAAGTGAGCAACCCGACAGATTGATCGATTGATCGATTGATCTATTGACGATTGGTTCATCGTTGGACATATTGGGCCTCTCGGGCCTCTCTCTCCACTACTCACCAAGTGTGCAAAATGAGAACGACGAAAAGCTGCATTCAAGGGTTAGAAACGATCGCAAAGGGCAACATGCATATACACAGATGCCGCAAGAACAAGCAGTCACGTAGACACAATTGAGAGAGAGACAATCTCACAGCATACATAAAAAAACAGAACCAAAAAAAGGTCCAGAACTGTGGAGAAAAGAGAGAAAAGGGAGAAAGAAGAAAAGGGAGGAAAGGGAGCACCGGGAGAGAAGGGAGCAATGCGAGAGAAGAGAGAGATACATTCTACAATCAGAGCACAGAAATTCCCCAATCTAAAAGCGCGTCCCCGTTAAGATCACACTCGTCAAAGTCCTGTCTGTGTGTGCGTGTGAGAGAGAGAGGGAGGGGGAGACAGAGAGAGAGAGAGAGAGAGAGAGCGAGGGCATGTGTGGTGTGGAGAAGAGGGTTGGATTAGCAGATCCGTGGTTTTTTGGATGAGCGACAGTGTGGCTATATTGGTGACACTGGAACGTGAAGTGCGCCGTTCGACGACGAGTGTCATGTGAAACGTGAGGACATCAGCTGCAGTAGAAGCCAAGTTATACACGATGAGGGAGGGTTTTCGAGGTGTGCCGAACGGAACTATGATGGGATCAGTTGGACGAGGCAAGGCACGTATGTCCACCGCAAAGTGCCAACTACCATCTTCACCCGAATAGAACGCCCTGTCATTATCGCTGGACTGGAACTTGGCCCAAATACAGCTATAAAGATCGGGCGTTCTATTTGGGTGAAGACGGGTAATACGGTGGAATCAGCTCGATCGTGAAGACGGGTTATATAGTAATATAGTATGATCGGCTGATCGGGCGGTCGATCAGCGGTGATCGAACTTCGACCATTCTTTCTTGTTCTTTTGCTTTCGTACTTTTCCCCCGTACTTTTCCCCTCGCCCACCGATCTGATGCCGAAGACTACCTACACCATCATCATTCTCCCGATTGTCCTCCTCCGCATAGCCGCCCTGACCTTTCCTCGCCTCACTTCTTTTTTTACCACGCTCAGATACTGACTTCCATCATCATCATTATCACCATCACCATCATCATCGTCCTCCTCACCATCATCATCATCATCATCATCATCATCATCATCGCCACCATCATCATCATCATCATCCTCACCATCATGATCATCATCATCATCATCATCACCATCATAATCATCATCATCATCATCACCACCTGACAGTCATCGTCGTGTTTTCCACAACTCATCATCATCACCGTTCATCCCAACGCGGTATCAACCGCCTGATTTAAAAAATCAAAGTCAAAAAAGGCAACTCCTCTTTTCTTTCAATTGCAGTATGTAATCGACAACACAGCAAATACTAACGACGACCATGACGTGTCGTTCTTTTGCAGCCGCAGCGAGAGAGAGAGAGAGAGAGAGAGAGAGAGAGAGAGAGAGAGAGAGAAGACTACTCGAATCAGGTCATAAAAAGGGTGCGTAGCGTTTGGGGGAAGACGGTAGGGTGTCCTCAATGGACATCAACGGAGAAACGAAGAGAGGGAGAGAGAGGTGCAGCAGAGTTTCGAAGCGTTGGATGGAGCCGAAGCCTATGAACTATTTCCTCCCAACTCCCCATAGCATGTCATCATCATCCTCATCACCGCCATCATCACCGCCATCATCATCGTCTTCATCATCATCATCATCCCTCCCCCTCCGTCCCACAGGGACCTACCTACCCCATAGTACCTACCCCATCGACGAGGCGGCGCCGTCTAGGGAAGAGAGAAGATGGAGGTGGAGGGACGAGACAAAGGAGAAGGAGAACGAGGAGAAGGATAAGGAGAAGAACTTGACAAAGGAGTGAGGTCAACAGCAAGAGGACGAGGAGGATTGGAGTTGAAGAAGATAGGAGGACGAAGCCAAGGGAGCGACGAGTAGATATGGGCCACTTAGGTGCACTAGCGATGATGACGATGGCGGGAGTAGAAGCAGGAGAGAGAGGACAACAAAAAGGACAAGGTAAAGGAGTTTTCCCATAGGCAACTACCCACCACAAATTGGAGAAAAGAGAACAGGAGAATGGATGTGGGTGTGGATGCGCCTCTTCTTGGAATTTCCCCTCTCCCCTCGTCTCGTCTATGGCGTCAGTTTCCTGACATCAACGGCGCATCGGGACGGATCTGACCACGATTTCGGCCACATTCACTCGATGAAGTCAGTGCGAGTATCGCGTCAGCTTCCCGATACCAACGACCCAACGCACACCGACTATACCTCCTCCTCTTCCTCCTCCTCCTCCTTCTCCCCCTCCGCACTCAACCTCTCCTCCTCGTCCGAGGTGCATCGTCCTCTCCTTGTCTCATGCTCTCGTCATACTTCGTACACGCCATCCGTACCGTTTCCCCACTCAAGCTTCAGTGCTTTTCAAATCGTTTTGAACCGTACAGGCAGTACAAAATCCCCCGAACACAACGCACCCTCATTTTGGCTGTATCTGGCCCGAAATATAGCTTGTATACATTCATTTTTAGGGTGCGTTATGCTCGGGGGAAGACGGTAGTGGGACTTTCTGGACTGGATCTGGCGATAATCGATGGTCAGACACGTCCAGGACAAAATCCCAGCGTGGGTACGTACGCCTTTCATCATGATCACCATCCTCATACAGTGACGCCCTTTCCCCCCTGTTCTTCGGCATCAACCTGCCGTTCCCGTGCGCGGAACAACAACTCATCTATCCAGTCCAGGTTAATAAAAACGAAGAGGACGTGGAAGTGGAGCTGAACGAGAGATCGAGGACGAGGGAGACGACGAGGGGAGGACAAGGACGACTTCGTACGCGAGCGGAACCAAGCGAAGGGAAAGGAAAAAGGGCGGCTGCCGAAGGCGTCACTGGAGCAGCTTACTGTTACGCTGGCCACCAGCGGGAGGTCAAGTCACCTGCCAACGAAGAGGAGAGCAGATGAGCCCATAAAGCAAAGCGCACGAATTAGTCCCGCCTGGTTTTCTGGCGCAGGACAAGGACATGGCCTGCGCCTGCGCGGGGAGTCGGTCATGGCAAAACGAGGGGAGGGAACGGAACGGAACGGACCCAGAGTGAGGGCGCGGAGAACGCAGCCGTAAGGGCCCAACTTTCTTTTTCCCCTGGAAGGGGACCGCGAGGGCGGAGTTGCGCGTCCGTTTCAGGTATTGACTTACCGTGAGGGCACGCGTGTGCAGCCCGTGGTTCGTTTGTTGATGTGGTTCGGGAAGGGTAAGGTAGTGATTATGCTGTATGTATGTTTTGTCATGTTTGTTATACACAACTCGAAGAGAGTGTGTGTGGGGTCCCGGTTGGTGCTTTATTCACGATGTTCATGGGACGCTGGACCCAGTTTCCAGCAGGTGGCGCTCCCCATCAATGGACAGGAGAATGTGTGTGCTGTGTGTGTGTGTG